TATAGGCATATCCCGATAGTCATGCATTCGACCTGTGTTGGTTTTAAGAATTTGATGCTTATAGAGAGTTTGTGCCTATATGGAGGTTAAATTTTATAAGTGCTATATAAGTTAGTTTTAAAAATTTGTGATTATAAGCAAATGTTAAAGAGGTCTGCTGTATTTATCAAAATTTTAAACTTTATATCTAACTTCTATTTTAACTATAAAACTCCCGCAATGGTCACACCCACAATAGTAATTTTTTATATACCAATCATTGATGGTTATTATACAGGAGTTGACCGATGTAAATTCACGAAATAGCGACATGGGCGTTATTTAGAATTTCGGCCCGAATTAAGCTTAATTCTGGCCAAAATTCGAAATAACATCCATGCCCGCTATTTCGTGAATTTACGATAACTTGTTTTTATATAATAATGATATTGAACACTATCATGAATTATAGTATTCTTTTTCTGAAAATTTAGACATGCACAATTCCAATGGCCAAGTTTATCTCTACAAAATGCTAGTATCCTGCAAATTTTATAATAGACTCCAAAATATCACAGGCAACTAATCAAAAACTGAAGTGGCAGTTGTCATTATGATTATAAAGAAAATTGTAAAGGTAGTGTATCACTTTTCGGTGTAGTTGCATAGGTAAAAATCATTAAATGGTAGTAGCGTGCAACATAATCGTTAAAAAGTAAGTTAGCAATATCGATATATATTTTTTGAATGGACAAAAGTTTACGATTAGTAAAAGCCAGAAAAATGCATTTTATTTCATAAATTTAAACCTTCATATATGCACGAAAATTTAAACGACATCAAACATTATATTATCGATTTGAATTTTTTTTTCCAATATTCAGTACAAATTTTTTAAATTGACATATTGTCACTCTATATAGCATTAAAATAAAAAATAGACCAAAGGTAAATTACTCTTTAGCGGGAATATTAAACCGAATAAATTAGACCGCATCTTCAATGTGATTTGCTTATAATTGAGATTTTTCTCGAAGTGATTCATAACTTTATAACAATTAAATTTAAAAAAGAAGACATTCAGGACAAGGTTCAGAGGTTACCAGTAAATAATCTATTTTTTTTAGTAAAACAGGACATTCTATAAAACATAAGGGGAAGCGCTTGAGAATAGTTTTATTTCTGCATTTCTGAATTGGCAATTAACTTCTACGTACGTACGTACGTAAGTGATACACGAATTTTTAAATTAGTTTAATGATGTAACGTGAATTTAAAATATAAAATATGTATGTGCATATATTTGTACGTAATGAAATACAAATTCAAGTTCGGTTTTCCTTTTTCTCACACGTCTTGAAAAAAAAATGGATCAAGAAAATCCGTCTAAACTAAACAGTATTGGAGATAACTATCTTTATGGAATTGGAGTTGAAAAGGATGAACATAAGGCATTCATTTATTACCAAAAATCTGCAGAAATGGATAATGTTGATGGAATATATAATGTTGGAGTTTGTTATCAATATGGAATTGGAGTTGAAAAGGATGAACGTAAGGCATTCATTTATTATCAAAAATCTGCTGAGATGGGGGACACTAGTGGAACGGTTAATGTTGGAAATTGTTATTGTGATGGACTTGGAATTGAAAAGGATGAACATAAGGCATTCATTTATTATCAAAAATCTGCTGAGATGGGGGACGCTAGTGGAACAAATAGTGTTGGATATTGTTATGAAAAAGGAATCGGAGTTGAAAAGGATGAACATAAGGCATTCGTTTATTATCAAAAATCTGCAGAAATGGGGAATGCTATGGGAATAAATAATGTCGGAGAATGTTATCAAAATGGAATTGGAGTTGAAAAGGATGAACATAAGGCATTCGAATATTATAAAAAATCTGCAGAGATGGGACATAATCCTGCAATGAGACAACTTGGATATTGTTATCGGAACGGAATCGGAACTCAAATAGATATACAAAAGGCTAATCACTGGTTTCAAATGGAAAGAAACAATTCTCACGAAACGATTAAATCAATACATGAAAAATTTGACATTAATGATGTTGTGAAAAAATTATTAGAAAATAATAGATATCAATTAACATGTATTCCTTATAATGAATTTAAAAATATCAAAGAAATTGGACAAGGTTCTTTTGCAACTGTTTATAGTGCGACATGGATAAGGAATACTAAAAAATATACTGAAACTGTTACATTTGCGCTTAAAAAAATTCAGGATCAAAATTATTTAGATGAGGTATTTTTATTATCATTTTTACTACAGTATTATTTCTTTAGTTATATTTTTATTAATATATTTTCTTAAAGCTAAAAGCGTATTGTGAAATCGGATACGAGAATCCTTCATTTTTAAGATGCCATGGTATATCAAGAGATGAAACTGGAAAATATATCCTTGTTTTAAAATACGCAGAAATGGGTTCTTTAAATAAGAATCTTAGTTCTATAGCGAAAATGAGATGGAAAGATAAATTGAAATTATTATATTGCATAACTTCCGATCTTGTAGCTATCCATTCCCAAGGACTCGAACATCGAGATTTGCATAGTGGTAATATTTTACAAGATAATTTATGTAGCGCGTATATCGCTGATTTAGGCCTTTCTAAAACGAGTAAAAAATTCGGTGTTGAACACTATATCGCTCCTGAAGTTTTGATGGATCATAAAACGTTTACACCAGCAGTTGATGTTTATAGTCTTGGCGTTATTATGACGGAAATATCAACTGGAAAACAAGCTTTTGAAGGATTAGAATTTATTCCTGGAACACCTAACTGTTATGTTAAATTAGCTAAGAGATGCATGGATCCAAATCCTCAAAAACGACCTACTGCAAAATCTGTTAATCTTCAAGTTGGACTTTGGATCGAAGAAATGTTAAGTTCGGATGAAGATAATGAAATTAAAAAGCAATTTTAGAAAATGATAGTACATTACAAGTAATTAACGCAAATAAAAACTCATCTTTGATAAGTAAACCCATCGATACCATCGATATTTTAGAGTAAAAAAATAAATTATTTTATGAATATATTTATGTTAATATGTGGTATATTTTTTTTATAATCAATATTAAATATTAATAAATACAGGGATCATTGAAGCCAGATGCGTTAACTGACAGAGCAGCTAATAATGCAATTCACATTGAAAGTTTCATAGTTTGACCTACTATTTATAACCTGAAATATTTCGCTAGAAAAGCTTCAATACTATGTATCATGTTAGGATTACGTTTTCGCTATTAAGTTAAAGTCCTAAGGATATGATAATACCAACACATCGAAAACTTATTAGTACGCAGATGGTAGTTTTAGATCGTTATTTTTTCGCGTTATATCTGATCCTAAAGTTTGATTGGCTCATAAAAGTTAATTGTGACCGGCAAGGTATTGCAGTCATCTCCCGCTATAGTCACATCATCCGGCAAAAATTTGACGTGACTATGTCGAGAGATACATAGTACAGTAATAGTTACTTCACGTGATTGTAGTGAGTGATAATTTTATAATATATAACCATAAATAGGATCTTTACTAGAAAATGACGCTCTGAGGCTATGTTGATTTTGTGAATAAAAATTAATTCGCCAACCATCTAGTTATCCAATTTTTATGAACTTTTTTTATTTTGTAGGCTCTGCAAAATAAAAAAAAGTTTATTCAAATTGGATAACAAGATGGCTGACAAATTTAACTTTATTCACAAAATCAACATAGTGGCAGATTAAAATAAAATCAGATTAATATGAAATTTCATATACATTCAACTCTTACTATAACGAACCAATGGTTCTGGGAGAAAAAAAAGTTCGTTATAGAAATTACTATGTTTTCTTAAGAAACCTAGCACTTTTTATACCGAACTATTATGAAAATTTTAAAAATTTGAGTTCATTCTATCCGGAGTTTGTTATAGAGAGGTTCATTAAATCCAGAGTTGACTGTATATATAAAATAGACAAGCCACTAAAAAATACAAAATTTTGGGGCATATCTTATTTTTAGCATTTTTTTTAGGGTTAAGGATCAGCTTTAGGGTGGAATTTATAATAAACAAGTATAAATAAGTTTATGAGGTTAAATGGAAACCCTCGCGACAATGAAAAGCTTACTAAAACATACTAATAGCATTCAATACTACAATGCTATATTTCAATGCCTATATAGCGGTTCAATTTTGTAAATGCTATATAAGTGGTTTTAAAAATTTGTGATTGTAAGCAAATGTTAAAGAAATCTTACTGTATTTATCAAAATTAAATTTATATCTAACTTCTATTTTAACCTATAACTACAGTCAACTCCCACAGTAGTCACACCCACAATAGTAAATTTTTTAAAGCTTTATACTAATCATTAATGGTTATTATACAAGAGTTGATCTACCATAAATTCACAAAATAGTGACATGGGCGTTATTTAGAATTTCGGCCTGAATTAAGCTTAATTCAGGCCAAAATTCAAAATAACGTCCATGCCCACTATTTCGTAAATTTACAATAACTTGTTTTTATATAATAATGATATTGAACATTATCATGTATTATAGTATTCCTTTTCTAAAAATTTAGATATTTGATACAATTCCAATAGTCAAGTTTGTCTCTACAAAATGCTAGGTTCCCAAAATATTACAGGCAACTAATCAAAAAGCTAACACTAAAGTGATGTCGAAACTGAAGTGGCAGTTGTCATTATAATTATAAAGAAAAATTGTCAAGGCATTGCATCATTTTTCGTTGTAATTGCATAAGTAAAAATCATTAAATGATAGTAGTATGCAATATTAAAAGTAAGTTAGAGAGCAAACATTTAAGAGCTCAATATAGCCCCCTGGGGATTGTCAATTGACTATACCCCAGGGTATCAGAATCAGTTATTTGACAATTACAAAAATTAAAAACAAGAGTAAATTTATTCATTGCATTATGCAATGTGCTTTTATATCGCTCTTCTAATTAAATTTCAAGATTAGGTATAACATTATATGATCAAAAAATTCAATACAAATGATCATTTTATAAAAATTGCCTATAACTCAAGATTTCGCATATAAAACCATCTTTTGTGCTCTAACAAAAAAAATTTCTTGCAAAATTTACTATAAAGCCTTATCTTTGCCTGTACCCTAATCCAACCTAATCCTAATCCTAACTATATGAAATAATTTGGTTTATTTTAGTTGTTTTGATTTATATTACATCTGATCTTATGGGGTGACAACATTATATATGCAATGTATAATTATCTCTAAAAAAATTATATAAATTTTGTATATTTTATATGCTTTTTGCATATTTTATATACTCTTTGCATATTTTATATACCCTTTGCATATTTTTATGTAAGATTATACAAAATTAGTGTTTTGTGGTTCGGTCTGGGTTCAGTTTGGTTCGGAAGAACCTGAACCCGAATCCGAACCAATAATTTTGCTAGCTTTTGAACTTGAACTGAACCTGAACTCACAATTTCCGAACCCAGATCGAACCCGAACTTAGTAAAAGTTCAGTTTGGGTTCAGTTTGAAGTTCATGAACATGTTCGGGTTCGGATATAATAATTTTATATCTGATATAGCATTAAACTTTTTATGCAGTATACAGTAAAGCCTCCATAAGTGCGGACTAAACTTTATAATATGCACTTAAGAAAATTTGAGTGCTTAGAGAAGTTGCACTTACGGAAGTTTTACTGTATATAGCCCTTACCACTTAAGTATTTGTATATATAGTATATAGTTCATGAAGTTATTCTTTGATTTATATTTAAATTTATATAATATATAGCTTACTGGTATTTGAGTTTGTATGCTATCTTAAATTAGCTAGCTAAATATAACATAATGATAATCTATTGATCATTTTAGTATAAAAGAGTGATCGAAGTTCTTTCCAATTCAAAAATAAGGAGGGTATAGTATTACTTGTAAAGCTGAGTAAAAAATTGTTTAAAGTTGATAAAAGAAGGTTAGTGATAAATACAGGAGAACCTGCTATACAAATAAAGCAAATAAAAACCAAATAACTTATCTGGGCTTGGTTAGTCAAACGAATGGATATTTATATTAATAATACTGTAACTGTTCTATATCAGTATATAGCTAATAAGCAAAAATTTTTATTAGTTCAATGAGTTTCATATCTATATCAGACCATGACCACAACCATGACCATGACCACAACGACGACCAAGGCCATGACCACCACAACGACAACCAAGGCTACAACTACCATGACGACTATGGCCATGACTATGACAATGACTATAACGATGAAAATGATACTAGTAGTACCGTTAGTAAGCAAAGTTGTGGGAATAAAAAGAGTGAAGTATGAGAATACTTTAAAAAAATTGTGTGGACAAAGGAAAAAAAAACGGCTAAATGTGACGTATGAAATTGTATCCATAAAGAGTATTCTTGTGGAAATACTGGCATGACTCGACCTTTATGGCAACATCTAGAATCTGCTCACTGGGCACAATATGTTCTTACAGAAGAATATCGTAAAAAAAAAAAAAAAGTGCAAAAAGAATACAGCAGTGTTGATGAAGTGTTTAAAAAGGTGATCTTTTATTTTTTACTCAAATTTTAAACTATAGTCAAATCTGATAATGAAACTTTTTATAATGAATCTACTTTATAATGAACTTTTTTAAAAAATTTATTATAGGGTCCGGTATGTAACATAATAAATTACTCTATGAAAATTTTTTACTATAAGAACCGCCAGTTGGTTATAAGAAGATTCGACTGTCTTTAATTAAAATTTTTATATAGCCCCCTCCAGATACCTCTACAATAGTATCAACTAAAGTTGATAATATGAAACTTTGCCAAATGGTTGCCACATGGATCATCAACCGCCAACGTCCACTTTTTATAGTGGAAGATACCAAATTAATTGAAATTTTATTATACTTAAACCCTACTGCACAACTGGTTAAGGCTGATGCAATTAAGCAAACAGTTATGACGCTTTATAGCTTAGGAAACATGAAATGAAGGTAATATCACAAAATTATTTTAGATGAAGAATTCAATAAACATTGAAGTGTTTTATAGGTTTTCTGTAGTTACAAAATAGTTGCTATATATATGTAATAAAGTTATACATTGTTATGTAATAAGTTTATAATAAAAGCTGTAATATCTACATTATTAATAAATGATAACATTTTTTTATTTTGAATTTAGATATACCTTTCCAATATTAGTTCCAAATTATCCTTTACATCAGACCTATGGACATCCCCTAATAATAAGTCATTTATTTCTCTCACAGGCCATTACATTGATGAAGACTGGAATTTTAAAGAAATTATTATTGATTTTGGCTTGTTAAGTGGAAAACATGATGGTACAAACCTTGTAAATGAATTCTATCGGGTGTTGGAAGATTATAATATTGTATCTAAGGTATTTTTCTTTATACTGTATAGTCTCGAAATAATGTTCAGTGGTGTTATTTTGAAATGCATAATTTTTTTTTTTTTTTTTTTTTTTTTTTTTATTATAAGGTGTCCTTCGGGACCGAGCTTTATTGATGTTTAACTGTTGACCACGTGGGTCTTACATTTAATATTACAACGAGAGTACAACTAGCCACATGTACAACTTTTGATTGCCTATTTAAGTAGTCCGCCCAAAGGTTCTACACTAGATGCCATGCCTATAATCCGACTAGGGGATTATCTATTTAAACGCTCTGATCATACATACCCACCAATTATTCTAAGCCAGGTACCTTTATACCGAAGTGCTCCCACTTACTTACCTGAGTTTGGTTACCCCGCTGGTTTCCCTAGGGTCTCCACAGGTGGGCATAGTGGCTGCCTCCCTAATTCTTCTATGTCCCACACATTTCCAAATTAGGTTCAGAGAACCTGTCTGCTATGGCCGAGACCAACACTAGCGGTCAGGACTAACCATTAAACCGCACAATTCCTGGTTCTCCTGCCCTTACAAGGTTCATTTCAATCCTGATACCTACATCTACCTTCCTTCCAGTTCTTATACCGATCCCTTCCAAACTTCCAAATCAGTTAGCCCGGATAGGTTGGTATATCTAGACTTTAAGTATCTAATGGTTCCCTTCCTTTGGTTCCTAATTCTGCAGCATAGGACCTTTTCCTCCAGTGTGACTCCAGCGGCCAGGTTGGTGA